AATTTGGTTTCGGCTCTTGTGTCTATCTTATCTTGTTCCATAATGCTTTTTGGGGTGCGCAGGTACTTGTATGAACAAAAATACGGCCCTCCAGTACTTATAAACGTTTGAGAAACAGAACTTTCTGACGATTTGGTAGACCTTTAATATAACGGTGCCAATAAAGAAAATTGACTAAAATTTCATGTGCTAACTGTAGATACTTTGACATGAAATAACGAGAGGATTGCAATTTGCTAGCTTTCTGTGGATGCACCACACAATGCAACGGAAAGCAGCTAATCTGTCAGAATACCTGAAAACGTTTCTTAAACGTTTATAAGTACTGGAGGACCGTATTTTTGTTCATACAAGTACCTGCGCACCCCGAAAAGCGTTATGGAGCAAGATAAGATAGACACAAGAGCCGAAACCAAATTAATTTCGGTCATACACTAAGGCAAAAAATACAGAGAAACGGGGTTTGTAGTGTGGGTTGCCTGTCGCCCCTTAGGGGGCTTCTGCGTTGGAGCTAGGAGATCCCGCTCCATGCTCTTTCCTTCCTTAAACCAACTGTACAAACATTTCTAGGTGTCTGAGGAAGAAACGTATACCACGAGCGTGTTCAGCACACTTCAATTGACAGTTTTGATCGAAGGATCAACGTCTGGGGTGCATAGGGTCGGCCTTGAACGACTTTGAACACAAGGGTGTTCAATTTCTAAACATTTGGACTTTGCGAGCTTATAGAAATTGACCGGGGCCAAATTTCGGCAATTTACCGACGTGAGCTTGTTCCGTACACTCTCCTTAACCTTCCCTGTAATTTTGGTTAAGATATTCCAACTGGAAGTGCTCATTTTCGCGTACAATCGACGGGAGGAGCGCGAAATAGCCGGGTGAGCACAGTGGGTTGCCTACCCGAAGTCCCCGTAAGGCGCTATGTTAATTTTAACCCCTTGTAAAATTTTTCCTAAGGGCAAAAATTTTTGTTCCTTCGGGCAAAAACCTTTATTTAGGTCCCAACTACCGATGTGCCGAAGGGCATCGCATTACTCCGATTTGCAGGATCGTTTGACGTACACCGGGCACTAGAGGGTTGAGGTTGATTTCGGCCCCTACTCCTGCCGCGCCTACTGCCGATATGCACACATGGCTCAGTTTGTATAGGGCAGACCACGTTAAGGTCTCGACTTGTCGTTGAATTTCTCATGCTAACCGAGCTATTTTTGTCGCGACCGCTGACTGTAGAGCCCCCGCTTTGAACACGAGTGGTCCATGGATCCGATGCCAACGGCAAATCCTGCATCCCGTTCAAATTTTTAATTTTTCAGATCATAGTTTGGCAGCTATCTTTTGCTGATGAGTGCCCTGTACCTTAAAACGCATACAAAAATGCTCTGACAAATGCAAATTTGAGTCCAGCTCCGTTTTTTATTTGCCCCAAGCGCGATACCTAGCAATGCAATGTAGAAGGGTTTAATGGTGAAGTGTGGATAGCGCGACCGACTCAGCTCATGCCAGCTCGTTTCGGGGGGTACATTGGGACGGATTTTTTCTTTCTGCTGTAGTTCGGAGACCTTGCATGTTAGGATGACCAGTACTGGCTGCAATTGCACATCGATATGTGGCCTATAACATCCCATAGCGTGCAGATTTTTTTCTCGTAGTCTTTGGCTGGCAAAATGAGTCACCATAAGAATACATGGAATGGGGCACAATGGGACAGTTGACACTCTTTCCTGTGAAATAGACAACATACTTACCGCCGATACTGCCTCCCGGTCGGAAACACTGATAAACTAAGTGTTCAACTGCTCAACACTTCTAAGTGTGCAACTGCAAGTTAAATACTTGCAAGTGTGCAACTGAAAGTTGAATATTTGCAAGTGTGCAACTCGGTAGGTGTGCACTTGCAAGTGTGCAACTCCTCGGTTGAGCACTTCCTACACAGTAAGCGTCCAATCTAAGCAAGTGTTTAACTGAGGAGTTGCACACTTGCAAGTGCTCACCTACCGAGTTTAACACTTGCAAGTGTAGAACTACGGAGTTGGACACTTGCAAGTATTCAATTTGCAGTTGCACACTTACAAGTGTTGAGCAGTTGAACACTTAGTTTATCAGTGAAGTCTTAATAGGCCAGTTATCTACAAGTGAGACAATTTTGGAATTTTTTGAAGTGTTACATCGGTCACTAGTGATAAACTTTCCCAAATCGTCTCCCCCGTGATTCCTTTCTTTTTCTTCGGTGTTTTGGGATTTAACTCAAAATCCTCACTTGCTAAATGTGTCGTAAGGAACTACCTACCGACCAGCCACTTCCGAGATTTGCTCTCACATTTCAGTTCGCGTAGAAAATTGCTAGTAAAATAAGAAGGTACCTTACTTTTAACAGATTTTTGAGCTCATCATTTGATATTTTCTGTACACCAATGGTGTTCAATATTCTCAACACTGATACCATCATGATATATGCTCACATGGGCAATGTGTCAATTATTTTCAGCATGGAAATACTGTTAGAAATAAATGATATTTCTACTGTCCCAATGTACCCCACCTACCCCCCGGCACTCCCCGCCACGAGCCACTCGCCTAATACGAATACAGAGTACCACGTGGGCACATGTTGGCCACGCTTTGCAGGATAACGCCAGTCTTTGGAATTCCTCTGAGACTCTTAAAGATAGCAGACACTCCAACATTTAGTTCATTTGTAAGGCCAGAAGTCTGCAGGGTGCCTCAACATTTTCATAAGTTCCCAGGACACCTGGATCCTAAATTATCCCAGTTATTAATGAGTATATTTATGTTCAAATATTGTATCTTTACTTCTTACACTGCAACTGCTCAATAAAATAATAATTACAGGAAGTAGTGGGTATTACATGATATTACTGTAGTACAAAACTGAGCATTGTAGTAAGACAATTATACCATCTCTTAGCATTTTTTAAAAACAGACCAGGCATAAAAGAGTAAATTTTACCCACAACTAGAGATAAGTCACATCAAAATTGAAGAAAATACAAGCTGGAAGTGGGCTAACAAGTTTCAATACCGTAAAACAAATAAATAAGTTTATGTTACATTATAAGAAATCTCAATATTTGGAAGTAAAGCCTCGTTGAATAAAACAATTTGAAAAAGAACATAAATTATTCTTTCCTCAATAGCAATGACCATTCAGGAAATTTATTCATAAATACTACATGTATGATGATGATTACGATGAGGATGATGATGATGATGAACACATTAGTGCCTCACTGTGGAGGTCCTAAAAGTACAAAGATTAAGTGACATTACTGATTACTGAACACAAGCTATAACAGGCTAAGATAATGACTACCCAGCCACTTAAGTAACATTTATTTACATTCTGCAAGGAATACATCTGGCCACTATGGAGCCACGGCTCTTCTGGCTTATTTGTCTAATAAATAAAAAACAATTAAAAAACATTCCTGCACCATCTTTGCAAATTGGTCTACCCCAACTAGTCTACAGTAATCAGAACATCACTGTGATTTAGAGGAAGGCACATGAAAGTGATTCAGGAACTGAATTCTCTCACTGGGCATTATATGAGAGAAAGATTGAAGTATAATAAAACTCCATTATTCTATCAGATTTAAGCAGTCTTCTATAATGGACGGTGGTCATTTGGCCCTGTAAAGTAAGATGATGGTTAATAAAAGTCCATTTGAACAGTTGGTTCGATATTGTGACTAGATAGCAAAGAAAAACAAATACAAACATAAAGGCACTTGTAAGGAAAATTTGTAATTTGAATTGGTAGAACACAAAAAGCCATCCATCATCAAAAGCTTTTCATGATATTGATAGATACAGACATATTTAATGAAATGATGATAGATGTTGCTTTCCTAAGAAAAAGTATTAAAAGAAAATCTACACCCTACAAGCAATGTAAAGCAACCTCATAAGCAAGGAGGGAAAAGGGTATCTAGAGACCTGCCAGAGAAATTTGCTAAACACACAATTGTGGCCGGCCCATTCTATCATGCACCCCACACAAAAAGCATCACACAATTGTTTACAATTGAGAAAAAGCATAATGAATGAAAAATCAATAAATGCTGATTCCAATTACCTGTATTTTTAGATGAGCTGCAAAACAGATACCGCTGGTAGTCATTCTGATACCCAACCAAGTGAGACGGCAAACCCAATTCCATGCCGTCCAGCCCTGCCATGCTTAGAGTTGAGGATAATGTGCCCATTCCACTTAGTCTTTGATCCGAGATGTCACTGAATATGACAAATCTTAAGGTTAATAATGATAATTGATTCATAGACTACATCAAGCTAAGAAACAACACAACCAATAAAACTTCTAGCTCTACAAATGGTGAAGGAAACCAAACTACAGTACTTAAACGGACAGTTCTAGTAAATTATGATGGCTCCCATAGACAAAATGAATTGAAATCATAGCTCAATTTGAGTATGATATGGTACACAAGGTAGAAAATTATATTAAGTATAGTATAGATGATAACATTTGTGGTAAGTTTTGGCCCAAAATACCCAATCTGACTACTAAATAAGACACGTTCAGCAAATGAGATACTTGAGACAGAAAAGTTAAAACAGCAACCCAAAGAACAGTCATAACAATGGACTAAACTGAAACATTCATCCCCAAAATGTCAGGTGAAGCAAACCTGAAAGTACAGTACAGGATCATCCACAAAGTCCACATAAAATGTTTACAGACAACTTACTTGGATGACTTGTTAGAAACAGTCTTTTTGATTGGTGCTGTGCTCCACGGCTCCTCCATGTAATTACCATCACAATTTGTGCGAAGAATGCCTCTCATGGCCAAGTCCTGCGCTTTCAAGGAGTCTTCACGTTTAGCTTGCAGAGGCTAGAATTTTTTTTTTTAAACAGAACAAAAACAGTCAGAGAGGAATACAGGTGTGTGGTGAAGAAATATTACAGTAATAATACATTAAGATGGTACCTTAGAGTCGAGTCTACTCGAAGATGATGTTGCGGCTCCCGTTCGCATAGCATTGTCTATATCTACCTCAGAGATTTCCAGCAAGCTTCTTCTTTTAGTATTGTGACTGGGCTGTAAAATCAGACAGTGACCATTAAAATAGGAAACAAAACAGAGACATCTTTTTCTAATAAAATAAATTTTTGTAAAACTGTACAAAAACAAAAGAAACAGCTCACTGGAGTACAGCTTGTGGCTAAAATTACAGAGAAGGGAAAATAAGGTGACCAAATCAAATTTTTCTATCCTAAAGGTAATAATTTCCTAAACAAAAAAACATAAAAAATATAGAAGTAAAAAGTACTTAGTAAACGCAAGAAAGAAATACGACATGTGCGGAATTGTGGGCTGTTTGGCAAGATGTTTAATGGAAGGGAAATGGATAAAAGGATACATATTGATTGGTGAACAACACAAATGGGAGGAGAGGGGTGGGTGCAACTGGGATCAAACTGCAGAAAGCTGTGCAACAAAAAATGCGTAAGCGTATTTTTTTTCTTTTCCAGACCAAACGACTCACCATGGAATTGGTGATGGTGTAGTGGTCGGTTCTAGAAAGCATTTGAGTTGGAATACCGGCTAGAATATCACTCATTTCATCCTTCAATGATTCTTGAAAATGGGGTGTAGCCATCACAACATTTGCTCTGACTGAGTCAGAATTGGAAGAAGTTGATTTTGTTGAACTTAGTCTCTGCATATCACGTATAGTATGATTTGACATAGTGGTATTGGTCCTTGGCGGATCGCGTGAATGCTGAGTGTAAGCTACAGAGCTCAATTTAGAGATGTTGTGTGCATTAGAAGTTTGCATGACAACATTGACCCTCTGAGGCTCAGATGTAATGTTCTTAGCTCTCAGAGAGTCAAGAAGTGAAGGTTTATTGATAATATTGTCACATCTCTGTGGTTCCAATACTGGAAGTGTGTGTTTGTAATTGTCCATGGAGGTTGTGGAGACCTGAAGACAAAGATTGAAAGGATTGCATTATGCACAATATGCATTGTATCCAAAAAAGTAATCACCAGACAAAAAAATAACAATTCTTGTCATGTTTTGTTAACTAATAAAAAGACAAGGAAAAATTCATGTATTTGTCCAAAAACTAAGACAAGGATTGAAGCAGGCAGGCAGGTTAAGTAATATAGGTCTGAGCAGGGCACACAATGCCTGTAAGGTGTTCAACAAAGTGATTAAAAATGAAGAAAAAAGTCAAGCCTCATCTTTTAGTGTAAGAATGTGTGAGTTAAAAAAGGAGCCAGAAGACAACATTCCAAGGTCAGAACAAGGACTTAGGTTGGTCAACGGTTTAAATTCCGAAAGGGTTAAATGAAGATCCAAACCCCTGGAAAACAGAGTTTGCAGAGAGCAGCACTGAGGATGTGGTACACGAAAGTCTCTAGGAAAGCAAGTACCATTGATTAATGAAGAAAAGGGAGAGCAACATAAAGTAGTGTTCCAATTGAACATGTAGCATTTAAAACATTCTTTGTTGTGATTTGTGGAATGAGCTGCAGTGAAGACTTGTGAAGAAACAGCATTAGAGCAGTTTTGACAACAATGAATGAGTCAAACTGAGAAAAGCAAAGAACAGATGGAAAGCAGTATTCAGTAATTTCTGCCATCATAAATGATATGTTCAGCACAATACTAAAGCAAGAATTTAGACAAGAGACATATTGAGATTTTCCAGCCCCTACACCAAAGCAGGTTGAGAGCAACAAATGAACCAGTATTATATTGTAGGAAACGGGGTCTATCTTCACTCATGGCACACATTACACTACCTTATGAGTGCTCTGAGGTATGGAAGAAGGTATCTTCAAGAAATCTTCAAACAAGTCGTCGTCCCAATTGAGGCTTTGAGATGTTGCTTTCGCCTATTGGCCACAACCAGGCCAGGACACAAAACATGTAATTTGTTTCAACATAATTAAAAGAAATAAAAGCATTCTTAGAGGAAAATTAAAAACTATTTTCGCCTTGACTGAGGAAACTGCTTCAGTGCATTCTGTGCTGAGTACCTAGTGTGTTGGCATAAAAAGTGTTTTTGCTGTCAAAATATTTTAAAAATTGGCACACAATTTATCTGTCACATATGAAGTAAAACCAACCAAGATCTGCTTCCAGGAATTTACAGACTATCCACAAACTATTGCAAAAAAACAATGGCCAATTTAAAAAAATAATCAAATAACTACCATATTATGAAGGATCCTTGTCACTGTCCCTCAAAATGCATAGCTAAAGTCACATAAATAATAAACATACTGCTGATTGCACAAGAAAAGACTATCATGAGTGAAAAATGATGGTCAATACAAGAGAAATTCACGGAAAGATTGCAAAGAGCAGAAGACCTAAAACAACCATGATAAACCTTAATTTACTTAGAGAAAAAGTAGCTAACTCACCTGCGCTTGATTCCGTATGGCATTACTCTGGTCACTTGTTATATTACTGTTTCTGAATGGCCCACTCAAAATTGGCATAGCTGGGTCATTTGCAGCTCTTTCTCTGCTGTCCTGAAGAATTCTATCCTTACGGCTCACTAATGCTTTTTCAGGTGAAGGAGTTACTGACTTCACTGAACTTGGGGACGATGATGAACTTCGTGGAATATCAACAGGAACAGTTGAAGACCACATGCTTGATGACATATATGGGGCCTTTTCAGTTGCCTGGCTTCTTGAAGGTTGAGCAAAAGTCTTCTCAGCCGGAATATGTTTTGCTGACTGAGAATCACTGACGTTTACTTGACGATGAATTCTTGCATCAGAACTTGACATTGAATTTGAGTAATTATTACCACTAGTTCCATGAGAACTCTGATAACTGCTAACATTCACACCATGTGTGTTTGAAAAGTTTGTGACACTTCCGCTATGTGATGTTGAAAAATTATTGCCACTATGATGAGAACTCGAATAGTTATTGCTACCAGAAACACTGTTCACACTATTTCCACTAAAGTTAACATTGGTGCTCTTAATATGGGGCATGGTGGAGCTACTGCTAGGAGTTACAATTACTTCACTGCGAATATTAGAGTTCCCAAGGGAAACAACAGGAGGGTTGGTATTCGATGCATTAGAATGTCCTGACCCTTTAGCTTGTTGATAATACAAATTACTGCTAGAACTGGGCTTCACAGGAGTTATTGTAAGACTTGAGCTTACTCCCAGGCTAGATGATTCAATCCCTTGAGAGATAAGGGATTGAGAGTTGAAAGTTGATGTAGGTAAATGAGCAGAATTTGTTGACACTGATAAAGCTTGATGATTGTGCACTTTTGAAGACTGTGACACAGGGGCTTTAGTTGAGGATGTCTGAGCTTGATTCAGAGCTTGGGTAGATAGTGGCTGAGACTGTGCACCACTGAGCTTCAAATTAATAGCTGATACACTTGATACCTTAATTGAATTATGAGTAGAAGAAGTAGAAAGGGATAAGGGGGTATGTGATGCTTGAGATGAAACAACATTTGATATAGAACTGCTAGATTGCGATTTTGATAAATCCTGCAAATCAGAGTTAAGAGTTTGATGAGCTTGATGCTTTGCACCACTTTGAGATGATAAACGTTTCTTGTGAACTAATTCAACACTTGCATCCATTCCATTGGTTTGAAGGTTGATGATTTCAACACTATTATTTAACGATTTTCTTAAACTTGCGGAACTTGAAGGTACACTACGAGTCTTGGAGATGCCATCCATATTAGCATTTGCTCCTTGATTATTATTTGTTGAAGACTGCACAGGTGTTACACTAACTAGACTGTTAGCAAGGGATGTACGAATACATTCAACAATTTCACTATCTAAAAGGTCCAATGGACTAGCTTGATTGACAGATGGAAGAGTGCTCGGTTGCACTGGAGTAGAACTCGATATTGTTTTGGCCCCATTCTGATGAGATTCAGTGCTTTTCACACTTGGCTCACTACTTGACATTAACAATGATGAGTTGTTTTGATTCTGATAGTTCACATTTTGCAATGGTACAGAATTCGACACAACATTGTTAACGGAAGTACTAGTTTTCTTTACAACATTGTCACTTTTAACAACATCCTCAGACTTTACTTTCATCCCTTGCTTTTTAGGGGCCGGCCATGGAGGAACTTTCTTAATTGTTGCTCTGGAACAGAAGAACACACAATGAAACTTATCCTGAGTGGATAACAAAAGCACATTGCTAATTTTAAACTTCAAAAGAGGAGAGAGAGAGAGAGAGCGAGAGAGGTGAATTTCTCTTACCCCGGGCTACTTGGTTTGAATTGAAGCAGGTCTGATGCCATTTTAGAGAGAATATCAAGTAAGCTAGTAACTTTCATCCATCCTATCTCCCACATCGGCAGCACCTCATTCTTCAAAAATTCCTTTAAGTGATCATCCCATATTTCACCTTTCTGCCTCGCCATCACTCCAAAGTACATTCGTCGCTTTTTTACAGCAAGGCAAAGAAGTTCCCTGAAAAAAAAAATATAATAAATAAAAAATTAAAATAAAAGAGAGAGATTAAATAAGAATAACAAGATAGATATAAAATAGAAAAATAGTTCACAGAATTAACAGAACTTGTTTAGCTTAATGGAATGTAACTTACTTTAATTCTTCAGTCCATGGAAAACGTCTTCTTGGTATTTTAGTTTTCTCTGGTGATGGTTTTGAAGGATCAGAGAGATCACTAGGTGTTTCTGATGTTCTGGAACTATTCAAATATAAAGATTAATTTTGTACACAATGTTGTATAGATTTGAAAGAAGAGACTTTTCTTACTTGTCATATTTCTTGCACATTGCTAGATATCTTTCTAGAGCATTTGGCATGAGGGAATCAATTCCAGCCTTTAATCTGTAACAGAAGATGCAAGAAGTTAGAAAATTTGAAGATGTGGTTTTCAAAAAGTGTCTCTAAGGAATGCAGACTTACTTTGCTAATGGTTCTTTATAGCCTGATTCCACACTTTCCGAAAGTAAAGCTTTCCCTCGTTTCATAAGAGTTTCCTTGCGACATGGTACATAACACTCCAGATGATCATAGATAGCACCCTTCTTGTCTCTAGGAACTATTTTCATTAATTTCTCAAAACTGAAAGAAAACAAAGTCAGGTTAAAATAAAAAGAAACAAAAGTAAAATTTATTATAATATGGCAGACCTTACCGTAGCAATAATGAATTCACGGCTGGAGTGAAAAATTGTTGCTTGCCTAATGTACGATTTTTAAGAGCCAATTCCTTGAGATCAGAAATACAGTTTAAAACATTTTCTGGCAGGTCTTCTGGTAAAGGAGTTGGGGTAGGTCCATTGGTTTCTTCCATTTCTGAGTCATCTGATGAACCTATATAAATAAAACACTACTAGTAAGTAACTGTAAAATTGCTGCCACATAATTGCACTTTCAGCTACAAACAGACCTGAGTGAGACTTGGATTCAGCTATACCACTCTCCTTGGAGTCCTCACCTCGGGCAACAGCTTCAATGGCTGCATCAATGTTGCTGCTGATTCGTTTTATCCCTGTACAAAGCAGATAGAGGTCAAACACACATAGAAATTCACATGCAGTGTAGTGTAAGTAAACCATTCAAAAATATCTCACCTTCAGAATCAACTTTTGATTGCTTATCATGTTGCTCCTTCTCACTTCCATCTAGTTTGGACCGTTTATCAACATGCTCCCTTTCACCGATATCAAGTTTGAGGCGTTTATCATTATGTTCCTTTTCACTGGTGCCTTTTTTACTGACAATTCCTGACATAGTCTTGTTCTTGGTCTTTTTGTTTGGTGGGACTTCTAGCTTAGGTTTCTGAAAAAAGAAAAAGAAAAAGAAAAGATCAAAATTTATTTTGAAATTCCTGAAAGAAAAAGAAAATACGATACAGTACCTTAACTGGAGGATTTGTAATGTGTCCATTGCCTCTCTCATCCTTGGGACTGGGTTTCACATCTTTCGGTGCCTCCTCTAATTCTGCCTCCTCATTTCCTTCCTCATCACTTTCATCACTGTCATCACTTCCTTCACTATCATCTGAATTGTCTGAGGATCCTGAAGAACTTGATTCACTCTCAGATGATAGTCGCCTCTGAAATTTAAAAGAAATGAAAAAATAGATAAGATGTTTGAGAGGATCAGAGAGGATAAATTTTTTTAAAAATTGGAAAAACCTTCACCAAATAATGTGATTTAAAAGAAAAAAACACAAATACTATTACACACACCTTATGGTTTTTAGAGTTTGAGGGGCCCTCACTCTCATCAGACGACGAGTCGTCTGATGAAGAGCGTCCATCAACCTGTTTCAGCACCAAATGACCTTTGTTTATGTAAAATCCATCAAGCTCTGGAGTTTTATCTTCTGGCACAACTTCATCATACTGAAATAAAGAAAAGAATTTGAGATGGAGACAAAATTTATTAATGAGTTAAACTCAGAATATTTCAGACACTGTAAAATGTCAATACATTATTATGTCAAACGAATTGTACTTACTGCATCTGTATTATCAATAAATGAATCATTGTCATCATAACCGGTTCCCAGCTCGGTGTAATCTTCTAGTCTCCTGCACTTTTTCTTTGGAGTACCCTTCAGAAATAGCAAATAGTAAGAATGAACAATTTATACAAGGTACCTAAAATTAAAGTGATTTCCTGAGGAAACACATTCTAAACAACAAGAGCAGTTTTTAGAAACTTACATATTTGGATTCAAAGCTTCGGGCAATTTGACGTAAGTCATCTTCATCATCAGAAGCGTAGGGATCCAAGCCATTGACTTTATCCTTCTCTTTAGTTTTCTCCTTTTTCCTCTGAAACAAAAATTGTAGTAATTATAATTAAATTGATAAGAAAGCAATTTGAATCATTTCTGCCTGAGTCCTTGTAATCTAAGTCGAATTATCAAAAGTAAAACGTCTAACAGCGGGCAGTAATGACATTTGGCCATGCGACAACTGCACCCGCACCGTACTGATCCTGGGAATGAGCTCGTCCCACCACCGGCATACGTGACCACACGCACGGTCTTCCCTCCCCCGCCGCATCGCGAAAGGCCTAATGTCCATAAGAACTTGGGGCGGTACGAAACTGAAACTCGGTATACGAAGAAACCCACGGCGTGTCCAACGCGATCTATAGAAGTAATGCAAAATTGTTGAGTTTGGAAGTACGCAGAGGAAGGGCGGAGAAGAAAATGGGGAGGGGAGGGGATAGCGGAAAACGGGGAGGGGCAGGGGGGCGGACGAAGAAAAAGGACGTCCACCGGGGGGCTGTCGGAGGTGCGCTATGCCGTACCGCTCTGTAATTCCAATGACGCGGCAACTCAAAATCGACCCGTAACATTAGTCGCTTTTCGTTTGTGAGATTTGCATTTAAACAACACTCTCTCGTGTGCGGAGCACTGCTGCGCTCGCAAGCAATGGGAGAGGAGGAGGGAGGGAGGGGTTTGGCGAGCGCAGCACCTACATAAGTGCCAGTGCCCCCCACTCCTAAGCCCCGTTACCTTTTCTCTACTGGAAAACCGTCAACTTTGGAGACCTATAGAGAATTGGCTGACATAAACATGAGAGCAAATCCTAGGTGGTCCAGCAGAGTTTTGAGAAAAAACATTGGAGCATAACTGGTATGCAAAAAAGATAACAGAATGTTTAGCCCGATACACAAATTTTCACGTCAAACTAAGCAGCTGGGCAAGTTACAACAAATGAAAGAGATGTAACGCCCTATGGACATACCGACAAAAGCGTCTGATGTTTATAACCTCAATCATGGCCGCCATTCCCTTCCAAACCAGCTGACTGCTCACAGGGTTGTTTACATTTAAAAGCACGCCACGGCGACTAACTGAGATGTAAATGAAAATTTTCGTCGTTTCATTCTAGTATTGTTCGCAAGATACAAGTCCACTCATTTATGTCCACAGCATAGCAAGATGCAGTTTCAAGTATATGGAGCAAGTTAACACTGGGCCTCCCGCGAAAATTTTACAGCCATGTAAAATGCTAATACAATGGCGAAAATAACCAGGTGTCAAATGAATTTTATGTTGAGTTAAATGGCGAAGTACAATGGTACAACTATACAGAACACGAAGGCATTGCGGTAGAGGAGGAATTGTTGAGTAGAAGGCACCAGAGATAGTGCAGTTCTAACGCACGTAATAGGTGTTTGGCACGAGTCGCGAGGGGAAAAGTTACAGAATTAAAAGTTAAAAAACCACGCCACACAGCCAGATAAGAAACGTACAGACAGCCAGAAAACCCAGTATAACCTCACAGAGTGCTTGACAGGGATTTCAGGCCAAGTTCAATTTCGACATATTACGAACGTAACATAGTGCTTGAAAGGGGACAAGATCGAGGCTGACGAGGAATAGTGTGTGGCAAAAATTAAACAGGGAATACTTACTCTTTCGTTCAATATGAGAGTATTGTAATTGAAATCAGCGAAAGTATCCGAATTGCAAGTAGGTAGAGTGAGGTTCAGACGTATTGTTGTTGACGTTATCTTGCATTTCTTGTCTTTCTTGCTAGGACCTAATGACTGCAAAGGAACTCTCTTCCCGTCTGACATTTTTCGCGAACTTCCTACACGGCAATTCCACAAGAGTGAAATCTAACATAGACATGTTTGAATTACAGACCACACGTCGCCATCTTCTTCTCGACTGTTTGGATTTTGGATGCGCAACAAAGATGCGCAGAACAATTATTGTTCCATTGAACAGTTTAGCCACCAGCCATTGGTGAACTACAGAGTAAACTTAATGGGTGCAAAGCGCTACAAAGAATATTGATTGAAGTACTATATCAACATATTATTTTAAATAGGTTTTATTGAAAAACTGGTCAGTATTTCAAAAGAATTGATAAAGATCCTAATACAGATAATTTGTTGCTCGTGTTTGTAAGAAACACAGTTTCCGGTTATTCTATTCATTTTGCCATTCATGCCGTCATTCATTGCTTCTTCCCCCTCCCCTTTTCTTCTCCTTACTTTTGTTCTTTTGTTATTTTGCTGTAAGCAAACATAAACAAACAGAGGATGGTTATGATTCTAGTCAATTTCCAGTAGTTCGTTCAAAAAGAATTTGCAATAATTGCTGTCTGATCATACAGAAAACATCCTGTTTATTTAGGGATGTCTGCGTGCGTTCGCGTCGCCGATGAACGTGTGGCAGATGACAAATATTCAAGAAACATGTCATATTGATACCATGAGTTATGAATTATAAATATATGATTTCTTAAATTAAAGGACTGTATCATCATATTTAGTTGTTTTTATAATGGTGCACAAGAAGTCAGAGTATGGACTGCAGTTTCTGAAACTGTCAAATGATTTAAGAGCACAAATTTGGCGAGAAAATGTCAGATTCAGGTAAGTTGGTGCATTTGTTATTTGTTGTCAGATCTTTTTGTTTAATGTATTTACTGACTGTTAAATTCACTATTTGATTTTGTAGAGAAGCTCAAAAAAGAATGCATTTATCAGATCATTACTGGCGTTACCAACTTATAGACGACCAATGTGATTGTGATGAAGACAGTAATGTACCTGAAGAATCAATACGGTAATTTTGTACATTTTAAAAATGTTATCTTACTTTTTAGAGCTTGCTTAATGTATTTTTTTTAAACAGATCTAATGAAACTAGTACCCTCTGTAAAACTGAAAAATTTTCAAAGCTGTTTGAGGATAAAGGATTGCAAACTATAGAAACAACGAAAGTTATTGATAACCAGTAAGTTTCGGTAAATGAGACGTAGACTATAATGAAGAAAATGGCATATACTCATCATGATTTTTTTTTAAATTTAGATTGCTCAATGAAAAGGAGTCAAAAGTAAAGCACAATCCCCTTCCTAAAGTATCAGAGGAAACTGCTGGATCAAGCGAATCAAATGCTTCAAAAACAGCTACCTCAATGCAGAATAATACTTTTTCTACAGAGCACCTAAACCGAAATGACAATAATGGTACTTCAAGGGGAAGTTTTAATACAAAAGAAATTCTTGACAGTCGAAGTACTGATGATGCTGTGTCAAGAAAAGCAGTACATTCCCACTTGAATAGATCTCCCACTCGCAATGCACTCAAAAACTACCATTCTGGAGAGAAAAGTGTTCCAGTATTTGCTGCCTTTGGGTGGAATGATTCAGACAAAAATGTGGGTGGGCAGAAGACGTATAATGTGCGGGCACCTGTTGGTCAGGTATTACAGAAGAAATTCACTATAATTGTGTTCCATTTGTCGGAGGACTTGCTCTTCTAACAAACGCTTACTCCGATGTTTTATTTTTTGAATTTTGTTTAGGTCCATACATCAGCTCTTCTAGCATCTGGCAATAGACTAAAAGAGCTAGAATCACACTTGGCCATGGCATTGAAGAAAAGACAACAGGAAAGATCACATCATCACCAAGGCCCTGTAAATTTAAGTGGTATTTGGATGACGGAATATCAAGAAAATTTTTCAAAAGGTCAAAGAGAACCACTGGTTCGAAATGCTTTTGCAAGACCTATTGTGTGGCGTTTTTCTTAAGTTACAGTACAACTTGCATTTTTTACTTTTTAGGTATAGTTTCAGTTTTGTGTGTGTGAGCTTCTGTTCAGTCAGGTTTTATAGTATCTCAATCAAAACCATGATATTAAAGGAGTAAAAGTGGGTTTAGGATAGGAACACTGCAAACGTAGTTGGGGAAAGGGGAGTGGTGTGGGGAGCATTGTTTGCCTTGTCCCGCCACTCTCCTTGTCCCAACTACTCTTGCAGCATTCTTGTCATGAATCCACCTTTGATGAACGAGATGTTTTCTCTAGTTCACTGAGTGTACATGTTTTTATTTGTGTTATATGGTGTTGTTTTGTTTTTCTCAGCACATGTGTGGATGTTTTTGTCCTATGCCCTTTCTTTTTTCTTATCAATTTATTTCAGAAGATAAACTACTCACTGTGATAGCTTTACCTGACCTTTCATTTTTTACATTATGTAAAGTATGTGGTTTTCCGTCCAAAGCAAGATTAAAGAGTAGGACATTATGCTTTTGTACAACAGGTTAACGATCTGTGCAAGTAATATATTTTTGGCATGATATATATGTACAAATTTATTTATTATATTTTATTCAAAGAAAAATAAAATCATAAGGGTCTTTAGAAAAAGGTACTGTGTACTTCATATTTTAAAAGCTATTTTTAACAAAATCTAAAAGAAAGTAATAAATCTCTGGTGTTATAACTGGGGTGGCTTTATACAGTGAGGATTCATTTTAGTTATGTTACTGGGAAAATCGCTCATAATTATGATTTTCTTTTCGTTCATTTGATCTAAAGTTTCAAGATATCCCAGCCAATATATGACTAGGCCAGTACCAAATCTGCAAAGGAAGACATAAATTAACTTCATGCCTATACTAGAAAAGCTTATGAGTACTTCAACAATCACTTGCCTATTCCAGTAGCTAAGGTACTGGTCTTTAAGGTACCCCCGATGACCTTCTTCATCACCAAAAAGTGCTTTGCTTTCTATCCAATTCACTATGAAGCCGTCCACAGCGATTGGTATGTCTAATTTTAAGTCAGGTGTTTTATCAAAGCCCTTCAGCCGAAGATGCTCTTCTCCTCGAAAAGCTAGTTTCAAATCCTTAGCTATTCTTTGCAGCTTTAATTCAAACTCTTGACCAAGCGAGCTGGAGGTTTTCCAAAAGAGTAATACAAAAAGTGTTCAAGCTTTATGTATAAAAAGTGCTAGAACAAGCCATTACTTACTGTTTTCCAACATCAGCTAATGGTCCATATTGATCATCATGTAGAGTGCTCTGAAAAGAAACAAATATATGATACAATAACAGGCAGTCAAAAAAATAGTCTCTACTGGAGGAGATCCTTACCAAATAAACTTCATAAGCAACATCTCTGTCTTCTATTAGGGTAGTGTCTTTCATCTTTCTAGATATAAGAGCTTTTGAAACTGTGAATACAAAAAGTAAAAGTAAATAAAAAGTTGAAAAGAGTCTGTTTAATGGATTCATAATTAATTTTTAGTGAACTATTTAGTTGAACTGAACAATTTCAGTACATAATTGAACATACCCGAAATCGCAAGTTCTGGCGCAAGCCGTTCATAATGCTGCTCTAAAATCATTCGAGCCAGGAGAGCAGGGGATATATCAACTTCTTGGGCAATGCGAAGAATGATACCTGGTTCGTCCCCCCTGTTCACAGCTTCCTGAAATCTACGGAAGGGATTTACAAATAAATAAGTAGCAACATATATTTGTTATTGGTATGTACGTCAAATATTTGTGTTAGCCTACTGTACCTATCGTAATATTTTGCAGCAGCAGATGATATCCGGGCATGGTTTTGTTTCATACGCCGTTGATACTCCAGGGAATAAATACTACCTAGTGATAGGTTTGGAACACTAAAGAATAAAAGAGGAACAATTTATATTGTGAGAGAGGTCACAGGGACGTTAAACTGATATTTATGAGAGAAGGTTAGCTATCTGTCAACTTACTCAGGAAACTTCTCACACAAATAAAAGTTGCACTCTCTGGCAGATCCTTTGAAATTCTTCATTTCAGTGCAGATTTCTCGGTAAAGTTCCAATGACATACCTGGCATCTTACTACGTTAAAAGTCTGGTATAAAATTTAATGGAAATGAATGGAAGGCGCAAATAAATAAATAAAAATAATAGTAGAAAAACTATGTAAAAATATTTCACATGAACTGTTTTAAAAACACTATAATTCGATCGATGAATTTTTCATATATAGCCTTCCGCACCGCTCAGTACGGCAACGTAGAAAATCAGTGACAGGTCTATTTTATATTTTATTTTATTGTAAAAGAACATGGAAAGAAAGGAAATTTTGTTTCGAAATTTCTTCACATTAAAAAACCACAAACAATTTAGAGGTGTTTGAGTACTGGTACTGAATATGAAATCTGAAAATCACTAATATTTGTGTTTCCATGCTGAGCACCCTGAGCGTGGTCAACAAACCTACAAACCCAACAAACCAACAAAATATTTTTGACAAAACAGCATCGCTACAACATCTGTACCGTAAAATTTCTGTTAAGTTGCGAATTTAGAAATGTCTCACAAAATGTCTAATTGTTAATGAAATTTATACATCTCCGTTACAATCCCTAAAGATGACTGGTAGGTAGAATAATGACATTAAATAATATTACCAAAGAAAAAAATGAAACCTGAATTATTTAGTTCTGTTAAGTAATTGCGGCTGTTCTTGTAATTTTACTGTTAAATGATGATAATAACAATACTTATGTTCCTAATGAAGCTACTTTGATGTCTAGTCAGACTTGTATTAACGCACATATATCTCTTTCAGCACCATCAGCTGTTGCCCTCGCTTTGCAGACAAAAATTGACGATCTCAAAGTGGCAATTGAAAATAAATCTGAAAATGTCTTGAGAATTGTGGAAGATATTCTCTCTGTTATTAAAGAAAATGGCATAGGTAACGTCTTTCTCCTAAACTTTTTTCTGCAATTTTGTCTTTTGTAATTATTATTAGTATGTTCTCATCCTATTCAGAGTCAGTTCCTGACGTGAGCATTGTACCTTGTGTGGAACTAGTCTTATTGCTACGCTGGACATCAAATGACGTTGTGGCTTCTGTTGCCAATGTACTTGCTGAAGTTGCCAAATCAGCTGCCGGTAGAGAAAGACTTGCAACGCTACAACCACCTATTGCTCAACAGCTAGTAAACCTTCTTCAGCAAAAATCATCCGATCTTTCTGTTAGTGGAAATCTGGCTGTGGTCACACAAGTATGTCGAGCCCTTGGTAATATGTGTTATGAAAGTGGTGAGTTCCTTGCATTATATTTTTCTTGAGTAATTTCAATTCGGTATCATGATTTTCATAGAAAATAATATTGTTTTTTATGCTGTAGAACTTGGGCAAGCCTGTGTTTTGGATGCAGAGGGCTTGGAAGTATTACTCTCTGTTTTAGAAAGAGCAATCATACTTGGAAATGATGTACCTGGAGCTCGCACATTGCGCTCTGTCATCATCGGGTTTCTTCTCAATCTTACCATATCTCAGCCTGATAAACACCAAAAAGTTAGTGCAACATCGTGTTGTGCAGTATGTGGTCGGGGAAGAGTTATTTTCTATAATAAGACTAATCATTGTACATCTGTTTCTTTTGAAGCTGGTTTCACTTGGTGGCATTGGATTACTTTGCAAAGTTTTGGAACTTGATTGTCAAACTGAAGATGGCTGCAACACAACCAATCATACAATGGTTATTCTTGGATACCTTATTGATCAAGGTGCTCATTGCATAATAATTTTCTAATTTTGTTGTGTCTATTTTACTGCTTTCTAGTTTTCTTTCTTCAATCTGTCTTTTTTTTTTTTTTTTAAATATATATAATTTTGTTTACAGTGTCTTCTAGTGAAACTGTTCTTACTGAAAAAGTTTGCCAAACACTTGTGCAAGTGCTTGTAACATTTTCAGCCTCTTCTGCTGAAATTTGTGAATCCGTTTTAGAACTCCTTCAAAATCATGCTGAAGATGGTTGGTATTAACATCAACAAGCTTTACTACCATGTGACTGATGTAATACATGTAGGGAAATGAAATTATTCAAAAATTTTAATTTTCAGATGGTGTAAAACAATCACTGGCACAGCATGGACTTTGTCAACTTTTAATTGGTCTTGTTGAGAAACACAGGCCCTTAATAGAGGAAGCTGATGATGAAACAAGGCACCTTTTCAAGTTGGCAACTGATCTGATCGTGATAATTTTGAATGAAGGTAGTTAGTTTATCCTAAAGTCCTTTCCTGTAGTCCCTATGTTATTGTTTCTCAAATGTTGTTTCTCGTCTCTAGATACAAGCATGGCTATGCTTTATGGAGATGGCAAAGGAGAGGTTTACAAAAATATGCTGCAATGGGTCAAAACTGATAACACTGATCTTCAAACAACAGGTGTTCTTGCTTTAGGAAACTTTGCTCGATGTGGTAAGGTTCATTTGAGGGAAACTCCGTCCCATTCAACAACCTAAACAAAACTGAAGACATAATTTTCTGTATTGTCTCTAAATTTTGCAGATCCTCACTGCATGAAGATGGTAGAAAGTGGTGTCCATGAGCATTTTCTCTTACTGCTTAAAAAGCACAATGGTCAAGAGGATGATATTCGTCTTCAACATGCATTACTTTCAGCTTTGAGAAATCTTGCAATTCCTACTATAAACAAGCCAGTTATCCTGAAAGCAGGGGCCCTGGATGTTTTGACGCCAATGATAAACATTTGCACCCTTACAGTGGCCTTCAAACTTCTGGCAACTCTCAGAATGCTTGTAGATGGACAAGGTTTGCTGAATTAACTTTTGTTGTAGCTTATGTGATTGTGTTGCTGTTATAATTTAAAGAGACATATGATGTTCTAAAGATTTTTAGCCTTGGTTAATCTAGTTTTTTCTGTTTATTTTAGATCAAGCGGCGGAAGAATTGGGTCAAAATAGTCAACTCTTAAGAAAACTTGTAGAATACTCTGCAGCGGATTGCCATGCTGGGGTGCAAGCAGAAGCAAGCAGACTTCTTGCATGGATAATTAAAAACAGCAGAAGCAAAGATGTTGGGGCTGCTGTTGTACAGTGTAGTGCTCTATCTCCCCTTGTGAGCATGCTCTGTTCTGAACATGCTGTGATGCGAAATGAGGCTTTACTTGCTTTGACCTTGGTGTCTTCAACTAATCTACCAATAGCTGAGCAATCTCTTGCGGATTCTAAGGTACTGGTTGTAAGACTCAGGTAAAATTTGCATATCAGTAGGAAAAATGATCTTGTAATAACTTTTTTTCTAGGTGTGTGCAAAGGTAGCTGATCTTTTGACACAGCATGGAACATCAATGGAAAAACCTATGCTGTGCAATGCTCTTGCACTCCTTGGAGAGTTAGTTTTATCAGGTGAGCTCTCTACATAATCTGTACTTACATGTTTTGTCTTTTTTGGATAATGTCAATATGCTAATGTAATGTAATCTATTCCTGGCCATTAATTTCTTCTCTAGATACTCTAGCTAAAGATTTGGCTCAAAGTGGTGTACATGAATCGCTCACTGGACTGGCCACCAGGAAAGATATCTCAGACCTGGATGAATTGGTATCAAAGCTCTCCACTGCTCTGAAGACTTCATAAAATGCATCAGTAACACCATAAACAATCCTTCCCTTCCCTCTTCCTCTGCTTAGAATTAATATTTGGTTCCACCATGTACAGTGACTTGCTATACTGTTATCCAAATCTATGATTTTTATGATTCATCAACATTCCATTAAAGTACCTACAAGCTCAAAACCTAATTCTTTCTTGTTATGAGAACTTTGGTTCTTAAATATTTTTAAATATCAGTAGTACTCTTTTCTTTTTAAAATCAAATCTTGCAAATTAGAAGTGCAAAGAATTGACTACTACCTTTTGTTTTTTCCCCTTAAATTTGAAAAATTTCAGGTATTAGGCTAAATTTTTAAACTTCATGTGTGCCATATGTTTTATTTATTAATATATGCGGTATTTAACAGGTTCTTTCCTGATAAGTTTAAACGGTGTGGGTGCGTACCAGATCTGTTTGTCATGCTCGTGCCTCTGCTTTAGTTGCGTTTAGATATGAGGGTCACTTGGGTCATTTAAGGTGCTGGCAAGTAAGGTATGAGGAAATGATGCACTGTCACACAAGTCAAAATCACAAATATGTCCTGTTGTATCGCCTATTTTTCTACTTTCAGCAGTCAAAGCGGTCCAAGCAACTTTAGTGACCCTCTATCTGAATGCAGATTTCTTTTGCTTTAAATACTTACATATTTTCCTATTTTCTTTTGTAAGTTTCAGAAAAAACTGTTCTTTACCAAATTGTATCTATGTGTTGTGAGTTTAATATCTACTGTATTCATTTGTACATATGATAAAGGCATCACCATAATATATTTTCAGCTAACATTGTTTGTTGCATGATTTTTCATGCACATGCAGTTATAGATATTTACAATAAGCTTTATTAATTTAATGTGATTAATGATTTTGTGCCAAACTAATTGCTTAAACAATGCTGTTATCCTGTTCTTTGTGTCTTCAATCTTCCAGCATCTTTGGTCTTTAATTTTTCTTTCAAAAATGTTTTATTTTCTTACTTTATTAAAGTATGATGACATTTTGTAGATGCATTTTTAATGAGGATCTGTTAAAGAATGAAATAAGCATTTCATAGCATAATGAATGAAATACCACATCCAACACAAATTTTTAAACCCCTGTAGCCACTATGTAAATATTTGTTCTGTACATGAGGAAAGATCGGCTTAGAGAATAACTCCTCATAATACTAGAATTATAAAGTAGGACACAATTGGTGAAATCCCGTGGTGGGCGAAAACATGAAAAGATGTCCCAGTGGGGGACGGGTGTGCTTGTGCTTGACTCCGCTGGTGCATATGCATAGAGAGGATTGACATGTCCTGCAGATCTGAAGTCGGATTCTCTAAATAGCTTCAGAACACCTGCCAAACTCAGCCAATGTGCAAGGCGTGTGGTGAAGCTGGTAGTAGGCAAGCGGGCATGAGGGAAGCCCCCTAGTGGCGCTTCCTTACAGCCGGGGACTAATTCTCTGAAAACTCAGATGTGAACATTGCCTACCTTAAATAAAGTGTACATGGCATATATACTTTGCTTAATGTTTATGACCATGTACACATTAACCAAAGTATACAAGCCATGTGCACTTTATTTAAAGTGTACAATGTGCGCATTTGAATTGACCGAGTTCATGACGAGAGCGCATAGTGTGGTCAAGCACACTTTGGGCTACAAGGTGGAAGAAATTGGAACACAACTGAAAGGGAATTCCATGTCGTCGAGGGTTGTCTATTGGCACAAGACAGGGATTTATGCGGATCTTAAGTTCCTGGAGGTACAGCTTCTTGCAGGAGGACGCGGTGGGCGAGGGTGGGGTAGGGCAGTGAGGACTGCGGCGGGAGGGGAGGGGGTGGGGGCGTGGGGCCGCCCTGCCCTGCCCATCGCGTCGCCCCGCTGGGATGGGTAGGGCCGAGCGAGCCGAGCCCGAGCGCCGCCGCCGCCCTCGCTCCCGTCCCGCTCCCGGCCCGGCCCGCAGTTCTCGCGCGGATGCCCCACCGCTGAGACGCACCGCGACGCCCCGACCCGCGCCCCGACGCCGAGTCGAGCCGAGTGCGATCTCGCTCCCGCGCGTACGGCCGCGGTCCCCAGCGCCGCAGCCCGCCAGGCCGCCCCCGGCCAGAGCCCCACGGAGTGGGACGCGAGCAGCAGTAGTGTATTGTCGTGGTGAACACAGGCGTGGACGCGGCCCCGGACGCACCCTCGTCATCGGCGGGATCTACCCCCCGTCGGGTGCCCGATGCCGCCCCTGCTGCGATCGCGGCGTCGGCCGGCGCCCTCGTGGTCCGCGGCGAGCACCGAGTGCACCGGGTGAAGGATACTCCCACTCCCGTTGACGGATACTCCCGGTGACGCACCCCGGCAGCCCGAGGCCCCCGCCGCCCCGGACCAACAAGTTGTGGTCTGACATGTGAAGTGAAGTCGCTGAGCGTCGCTGAGCGTCGCTGAGCGTCGCCGTGCCCCAGCCCAGCCCCACCATGTGGGAAGGCGGCTGTGCGCGGCCCGCTGCGCCGCAGATGGCCGGGAGCCTGTGCGCCTGCCTGCTCGCCGCCCTCATCCTGACTCATGGTAAGCACGCATGCGGATCCTGCGGTCGGGGTCCGTGGCCCGGCGCGGTGCTCACGATGTGGTCCCCGGTGGGAGGGGTCGCCGTGCAGGCGTGTCAGGTCACGCGACCTGCTATGCGCTGCTCACCATCTTCCTGCTCAACGGGTGCCAGGGCCATAGGAGCGCGCGGCTTGGCCCGGCGCGACTCCACGGCCCGCGACGACGTTTGTCACCGCGCCGTCGCGATGCCGGCCCAGGGCGGGGACGCCACTGAAAGGGGCCGAGCGTCCATCACGCGCAAACAGCGAAACGATTCCGTCTCACGCGTCCGGGAGTCAGGCGGGAAAAGGCAGGGAGGGAAGGAGACTGGGGCAGCGGGTAGCAGTGCCTCTTATTTCTTGGCCCCCGCGCGCGGTGTGGGTGTGGTGTGGGGGAGAGGGGTTGTCATCGTCACTTTCCAGTGATTGATGCGAAAGCTCTTGGGCGCGAATTGCGTTCGAGTCGCGCACGGGCGCGTCACCCCCGCGGTCCGGTCCGCGGCGATGGCGATGCGATTAGCCATGCTCAACACGGACACGCGATGCCGAATCTGATGAGCCCGCGGGCTTAGCAGCACCGCCCCGCCCCCGCTCCCGCCCGCCCCTAGCTGATTCGGCGGTCGCCGCCACCCCGCACCGAACTCGTGATACCACCCTGCCCGTCCCAGCTTATCATCATTGCCCACGCATTCTTAATGATGCAGCCTACAGCGTAACGAACGTGATTTGCAAAATTTGCGCCGGCGCGCTTTTGGTCGGTGCTGGGGTGAGCCGTGCACGCCGGCAGAGGGGCGGCGGCCGGCACAACTCATGTTGGCTCTCCATTTCTTTCTTGTTGTTATCTCCTGAGGGTCCGGGTTAGGGGGAAAAGGGGGGAGAGGCAGAGGGGCGCCCCGACCCCGACCCTCCACTCCGATGTGTTAGCACTCGCCGCCCGTTAACACCATCAATTTCAGCCTGTTAAGTCCCTCTTTTTTGCCCCCCCCCCTACCTCCCCCTTTACCTCTCTTCCGCGACCAACCCAGCGCCTGTTCCTCCCGCCTCCCCCCTTCCCCCTCCCGCGGGTGCTCTCGCTTACGTTACGTGCATGTGTGTGTGTGTGAAAATGTGCAAGTGGTGCCGCGAGAGTAGAGGAGGGGCGAGGGGCAGGGTGGGGCCGGGGGGCCGGGGCATCCCGGATCAGTGCGCTCCTCACAACTTCGCGGGATTAGCTAAAAATTCAGCCAGCGGAAAACCTGGCGGAGCGGGGAATGGGAGGAACATATTGAATCGGTTATTGCAGCGGACAAGCCCCGCCCCGCCGCGCCCGCTACCCTTCGCCGCTGCTGCCAGTTTTCAGAGGATTGGGAGTACCGTGGCCGTGGCCCCGCGCCTCCACCATGCTCACTAGTACCCGCCTGGTACCCGCCCTCCGGCCCCCGTCCCACCCGCCTTTTACGTGGACCAACGGCGAGCCAAAAGGGCTCCACCGCTTGGCTTGATTGCGATGCTACCCCGCCCGGCCCCTCCCGGCCACGTCCCCCCACGCCCCGGTACACCATGACACGCCGCGCCAGCAGCGCCGCGCCTGCAGAGGCCAGGTATATTTATTCCCGGCCAGCATCACCGGTTCTTTTTTTTTTACTATGTTTTTTTTCGCTTCTTTTTGTTTGGCATGCCCCGGGTAGATCGCGCTTCCTGGGTTCGTTGCACCCCCTCTTCGGGCAGGCCGCGTCACCCGCTGTCGTCCTGTTCGGCCATCGGAGATAATTCCTGTAGAAACTAATGAAAGGGCCGCGGATGTCGGCGGTGT